TTACCGTTATAATCACAAGTAAAATAGAGAGTGACGAGTTTACTCTTTATCCTTTTAATCCAAATTAAATGTGTGTTTGGAAAATGATCTAGAAAAAAAAGACATGAACAAAGAGAAACTGTGTTTTTATGTGAATGTTGCAGTTGATTCATTAAAAGTCTGATGAGATGAGCAGATTTCATTTTGGATCATTAAAACTATCAAAGTGACAAATGGAGCGACGTGAATCCAAAGTTATTGGAGGAAGTTCTGCTTCTTAAAAAAACCCACTTCCAGCTCTTTATCCTCCTCATTATTCACAGTAACCGCTGCAGGAGGAAACACAGCCGTGTGCTTCCTGGTGCCGGAGTCGGGTGGAGGGAGGCGTCCTGGACTAGGAGGGTGGAGGTCGCACGGCGCGGCAGGAGTGGCAGCAGGCCTTGCTGTAGTACCAGTGGCTGCACAGGTTCACCTTCAGAGCCAGCAGGCAGTTGGTGGAGGGACGATCCTGGCAGCTCTCATCTGAAAACATCAGAAAACTTCTGAACGAGGAAACAGAACTGTGACACCAGAACCGTCTGCTCTCCTTCCACAAATATGTTGTTCTACATTAATGAAACGGTGGAAGAAACAAAAAGAAATCAAGAATTCAATATTCATCATAAGAAAACAATGGAAAACTTCCAAAGCGTCTTTATCTCCCCCTGGTGTCTGGCTGCGGTATAGGTCGTAAACCATCCTCCTCCATGTTAGTAGACGGGACACGGTTAAATAAATGTTTGTCAAAGATGGTTTGTGTCATTTCAGGTAGATCTGACATCTTCTAGTTCTCAGATTTGGAAAAATGTTCCACAAATTAGCTGATTAGATTTCAGTGGTCAAAGGTCACAGTGAGGTCGTGAGTCTTTATTTACATATTATCTTTCTGTAACTTTCAGACTTTAATTTATTTGATCCGACGACGACCTCGAGGACACGAAGAGAAACTTCAGTGAGACTTTTAAATCATTTATTCCAATGTTACAAGATCTTCAGACTCCAGAATGAAACCAGAGAGCAATGACAGAGACGTGTCCGGCTGCTGAGAGAGAAAAGGTTTCGCTGTGGTTACCTGGCGGCTCGGTGGGACAGGCCTGCAGGGTGCACGTCTGTTTGGCCACAGGTTTGGTGAGGGGGTCGCAGCCTCGGACCAGCTCTCGGCCCTGGTAACACTTCACGTCCCTCATCCTCACTCCCACGCCACACGTCTTTGTGCACTGAGGGGACGCACGACGGAAACACAGACGTTACACCACACACACACACCTGGGGTGATATGTTCCCACACTCCCCATCCCTAAGTCTTATGTTCCCTGGGTCCCATGTTCCCATGTGTTTTAGGTCCCCAGGGTTCTATGTTCCCACAATGCTAAAGGTGCCAAAGGTCCTACGTTCCCTGGACACTGTGTCTCTGAGGTTGTGTGTTCCTCAGATTCACTGTATTTGACACTTCATGACAACGGTTCCTCAGTTCTACTCGTGTGTGTTCTCATGGTACATGCACGTGTTGAGCTCACCTCCGACCAGGGCGTGGTGTACCATTTGAAGCACGGCCTCTCGAAGCAGGTGTTTTCGTCCTCCGGCTTCTCGCTGCCTTCGCACGCCTCCTCGTCAAAGATCTGGAACTTTCCTCCGCTGATACCGACGCACATGACCATCCTGTGCTTCACGCCGCGACCACAGGTGGTGTTGCACTGTCGGTCGGGACGATAAAGTTACCGACACAAAACCGAGAGACATTAAACTTTCTCGTTGTGTCAGACTGCAGCTCTGTTGCTCGGGGGCGGGACCACAGAGCGTCTGATTTCCGTTCAGACTCAAACAGGATGCTGAGTTAACTGAGGGGTTTCAGGAGAGGAGCTCACTTTACCTCAGACTTTTTACATTCGCAAACATTTCTTTATAACAAACCAGAGGAAAGAATCACTGCAGTTTAGAATCTAGAACAAGACGGTGAATAAAACAGGGATTTAAAGTGTAGTGAGAAATGAGGAGCTGGAATCTGAGCATCAGTGAAAAGTGAACCGGGTCTCACCCTCTCCCAGTCTTGGCTCAGCCAGTGTGGAGGACAGTCCCTCTCTCCACAGGGGTGGATGGCCAGCGGCTTGTTCTCCGCCGAGCACTGGTTCTCCGGGACCACGCGACCGTCCGCAGCTTTACAGTACACATGACGCACCGTCTTCCCCTGGCCACACGACCCCGAGCACTGCGGCGACAAGAGGGCAAAGGTCAGAGCGCGTGATTCACGAGAAGCGGCCGCGTGCTGGCGTGTGTTTGTCCAACACGTGAAGTCAGATCAGGTCAGAGTGAAGTGTGAGGAGGGGCAACATGAACGACTCGTCTGAGGAAGCAGCTTCTCGTCACAGGTTCGATTCCCTGAGCGAACACTCGTTATCTGACACCAGAAAATAAATAACCTGTCGTACTTTTACAGAAGCATTATTTTGTGTCTTTACACGTCATGTCCTTGACCATTTAAATTAATAAATAAAATCTGAATAATAATCTGAACAAGAAAACAACTATGAAATCATAATAATGAATCAAACTGCCTGACAACATTAATACAAAAGGAGAACGTGGATGAACTGACCCTTCAAAATAAAATCAAACATGTGCAAACTGGCAACTTTGTTCAGATGCAGATGTCGGAGTTTCTGTATGAAACAGTTTTATCCAACTCATCACACAACAGAGGAAATTAAATGACTCAATAAAACCACAGATTTACTGCAGAGGATGTGACACTGGTTCTGTTCGACTGCACAGCTGAACACAATAAACCAGTAAATCCCAGTAAACTAGAAACACTCACAGTGTGTAAATAATAATAAATATGACTGACCCAACATTAGCTGTTGCACTGGGAGCCGTATTTCACAGGAACATTTCTCAGCTGTTCGAGCTCCCACCTGCTTTTTCCAGATTTGACTCGACGGTTGTAAATTAGACGTGAAAGTTTCCAGACGTTGACTTTGAATGGAAAATCATCAGAAACTACATTTGTCTGTTCAACACGATAAAAGCCACAAATTCACACAGTTTGTTCGCTGTAAAGACGGCGGAGGACAGGTGAGCAATCAATCTCAAAAACATTAGACGAAGGAAAACCTGTTTAAAATGTGAGGAATTTATTTTCTTTTATGAATGACTCAGACACAGGAAATAAGAATTATTCTAAGAACAAACCTTAAATCAACCAGATGGACTTTTCTTCACTGTCTGAGAAAACAATATTTATATCTGGATCTACAGTAACAAGTTCCTATTATTTATATTTGTCTGTAATGATCCATATTCACAGGTTTTTTAAGTAAAGACACTCACGGGTCCCCACTCGGACACGGTCCAGTGGCGTTCACAGGACGGACCGGTGCAGTTTTTGACGTTCGGTGGTTTGGTCATCGGGTCACATGGTGTGGTCTCATCGGTGCAGCGGACGTCCCGGGTCACCTGGGCTTTGAGGCCGCATTTCGCAGGACACTGGGTCGAGGACGGAGAGGGAGACGACTCAAGCTTTTTATGAGCAGAACATTTTAATCCAGACTCCTTGTTGCAGAACAGAGGTCGAGCTGCTTCAGGCCAAATATAAAGTTTTGCTTTTAATGAGCCTGAAATCAGACGGTGAAAACTCTCAGATTGGGAGAATCTGAATCTATTTTAAATATGTTTAATATGAACTGTGTTTAATATGGTGCAGTTTTATTGAATCCAGCGGCTGCTGGGCCTCGATGGAGGACTGAGCTCTGAGGGACGTCTCTGGAGAATCGATCGAGGTTTGCTCATAAAAATCAAACAGAACAAGAGAGAAAAAAAAAAAAACTACATTTAAATGTGGAAAAACTAAAAACAGTCCGAAGAGGAGCGACTCCTCTGGTTTTGTTCTCATACCTCAGTCCACTCGGCCACCTCCCACTGCGGCCCGCAGGCCGGACTCTTGCAGGCCCGTCTCTCCACGGGTCGCTCCAGGTCGGCCATGGTGCAGAGGTCGCTGTAGACCGAGCTGTCCAGACCCGGCGACAGCATCTTCCAACAGCGGACCTGCCGGAACTGGAAACCCTCGCCACAGGTCCTGGAGCACTCGCTCCAGCTGCTCGCCTCCCACCTGAACATTCACCAGACGAAGCTTCTGTCCAGTTACATGCTAACATTTTATAACATACTACATACAACACTGTATGTTACACTGTGCATGTGTTCAGTATCTGTTCTTCTTACCTGGGCTGACACTCTCTGCCGATACAGAAGTCGTGGACGGGCTCGGGTCTGGTCAGAGCGTCACAGTACATGTCGTGCACCTCGACACCGTCATAGCGAACACATGAGACGAAGGACTTTGACACGCCTGGATCATGAGAAGCAAACGATAAGCTGGAGGCTACAGAACATTTTATACACAAAGAAAACTTGAAGTGCTTCAAAGAGTTTTTCATCCAGAACAACGAGACAAAGAAAGTTCTGAAGGCAGCAGCAGAAATAAAAGTGTTGAAGTTATTGTCTCGCTTTATTTAAAATAAAAGCAGTTTAATCATGTCAAACATAAAGATCAAACAAAGCAGCTCCACGTTAAACTCAGTGTCTCTCTGACTCGTCTCTGAGCAGCAGAGTCGAGCTGCCGCTAACGTTCGCTCAGCTTCATTCTCTGAAAACTTCAGATCCAGACGTCCGACGCCTCAAATCCTTCATCTGCTTCAAATATAGAGATAAAAACCACCACGATATAAAAAGTGCATCATAAAAATGTGACTTTAAAAAAAAGTCACTTTTCACTCTTCGGACAAACACTGACACGTGTTCAAAGAGGATATGACGCCACCAACAGTGTGTGTGTGTGTGTGTGTGTGTGTGTGTACCTATAGAGCACGTCATGCTGCAGGGCTCCTGAGAGGAAAGTTTCCAGCGATACATGTCAGCAGGGCTCAGCTTCAGGTTCTTCTGGTAGAGCCTCTGATTCCCCCTGAGACACACACACAGACACACACACACACA